TTCCTGATTGGATAAAATAAAATTCAGTGGCGACTCTTGCTTACTGCGACATTTTGCAAACAAAAAAGCGCAAACTAGTATAACAGTCGGTTCTGCCACCGTATCACACATTGATTCAAAACGAAGGATATTGCTAGCCAAAATGAAAGAAAAATATTCAAAGAGGCCTGCTGGCCTAAAAGCCAACATACTTCCAGTTTCAAACCAACGTGCACAAGCACATTCCTGCCAAAAGAAGCTTTGATTGGCCAGGAAAGAGTTTCCATTTGAGCTAGCTGAATAAGGGTTCAAACTAAGAAGCCCTAGTGATGAGAACAAGAGCCAGTTGAAGGGTACACAAGAGGTACATTCAAAGAAGCATGCAGAAGGCCCATTTGAAGGCTACACAAGAGGTCCGGTCGAAAGAGGCAACTTGAGGCCAGTCTAAGAGCAACATTGGAGGGAATTCGGAGGAGCCAAAATGTCCAGGTTCATTCAAATTCAAAAAGGGATAAGTTTCCACATCTTTTGCAACGTTTCAAAATGGTATTCATGGCCTTAAAACACCAACTTAATGGTTGTTTACTCTTTTTCCTTCTTGTCCCATCCATCCCCTCTATATAAAGATACCACAAGTGTTGCATCACACACAGATAAATTACCTATCAAAAGAGAACACTCACACCACCATAGTAAACATATCAAAATTATAACTAGTTTTGCAGGCACCCTCAATCCAGATGAAGGCCATACTTGTGTTCCTAAGATTCCCAAGAATCTTCTCCAAGCCAAGCCACGCCCAGATTCATAAATCGAAGCATTTCCAATTGGTAAGGATTTATCCAAATCGAAACTACATTTTTAAGCCCTTTAAATACATGTTGTTGGTATATTTGTGCTGCTAATGCCATTTGTGTTTATATGAGCATATCATACGCAAGGTAACATGCAGGAATAAAATCACTTCATCGAAAGGCATGATCTGATTTGCCTTTCGAAACTCATGGTATAGCCAGTTTCAAGCCAAAATAAGCTTAGGTCTGAGGACAGAAGATTCGAATTAGGGAGAAGGACCCGAGTTCGATACCCAGGTCCTGCATCTTTATTTTACCAATATTTGCCTTGCAGGTCCAATTCGAAAGACAACCCCCTCCTTGGATAGAAAAATACAACTCCATCCCTGGATCGAAGAACCACATTACTCAATGGATCCAAGGACAGACCTGGACTCTCTTCAGCATCGGGCCTAGCGAAAATTCCAATCAGCACCCCCTTTTCTCTTTTGCATGCCTAGGCCCATTTGACATCTTTTCTTTTTGTATTGTTTTAATTTCTTTTTTTTATTATTCTGTTTTTCTTTATTTATTTAATTACGCAAATAATCAAAATCACAAAAATATTAGTTTTAGGTTTTTTTTATTAAATTAATTTTGTAAGTAAATTAATAAATAATTTTAACTATTTTCTTAATTTAAAATAAATTAAAATTTAGGTTTTAATTTAACTTTAATTATTTTCTTTTCATAATACAAAAACCGAAAAGAATTTAGACTATTTTCTTTAATTTAATTTTAATTATTTTCTTAAATAAAAAAGAACAATAAAAAAATTTTCTTATTTCATTTTTACTCACTAGGTTTTAGACGTACTTTTATTTTTCACGTATTATTTTTTTTCTTCATATTTTTATATTATTGTATCTGTACACTGGATGTAATAGTTAATAGGATTTTACTTACTATCTTTATTTTTTCCGCACTCCCAAATTATTGTACATTGTAAATCCCTTCCCCGAAGTCATGTAATAGTGTAGGTTTATACTTCCGCACTTTATATTTTGTACATATTAACTGCTAGTAACTAGGATTGTATGGAAAGACTAATAACAAAACGTTAGCAAACCTAACATAAAAAGATAAAAAATAACTGAATACAACACATTTTACACATATACACCTCTAGGGTTCCCCATTTTGGTTGCCTTCGGAAATAAAACAGTCATGTCCCTCGAAACAGGGACGCTTTAGAAAAGACCCGTAAATCAAAAAGATCATAGTCCCTCGATGACCTTACAGTTGCCTCTCGGTAAATGATCTAGTCCCTAACAAAATTTCAAAAATGTCTCCACAAGTTGCCTTCATGACTGTAACGTCCCTTCGAATGTCCCTTTTACATCCAACAATAGAGCTATCTACTCACTAATAGTAGGATAGCACTGTCTAAATGATAGGAGGAAAAGAATAACCTTTTTCGAGTACAAAGTAGATAGCTGTTAGAAGTTTGCTCAAAATATTTTTGCACTTAAATAAATACTACTTTTCAAAAACAACTTTCAAAATATTTACTTTGTCAACACTCTTGAGGACTGATACAAGAGTTAACGCAAAGCAAATCGCTGCACTAAGGCATTTTCCAAACATTTTCAAACACACAAAGCACAAAGGTATTTTAAAATGAGCAAACCTCTAAGAGCCCGGGGAGAACTACAGATGGAAAGGGTGCTAACACCTTCCCTTTCCATAATCTATCCCCCTTACTCAGAAAACTCTCGAAAAAGGTCTTTTTCTGTTCTTTTCACTCTTTCCTTAATTTGGATAAAAGAAAACTCGGTGGCGACTCTTGCTTACCGCAATATTTGCGAACACAAAATGCAAAACCAGTATATAACAGTCGGTTCTGCCACCGTATCACAACACTAATCATGTTTTAAAAAAAACACAAATAACCATGTTTCGGAGAAAATTACGCAAATAACCATGTTATAAAAAAATTACGCAAATATCATATTTCAAAAAAAATGAACTAAAGAGGAGGCGCCAGTTGAATTGGCGCATCCTATATATTTTATTTAAAAATTTTCAATTGCCTGCAGATTTTCATGCAGATTTGACATTACAATCACACTTACCTGTAGATTTTCCTACAGAATTACCTGCGGGTAAATAGTTCGCAGGTAAATCTGCAAGTAAATACGCAGGAAAAGTCAAATCTGCAGGAAAATCCGCAGGTAATTGAAAAGTTTGAAAATATATAGGAGACGTCATCTCACTTGGCACCTCCTTTAAAAAAATCAATGCATGTGCCATCTGAGATGAATACAACATTATAACGTATTCTGAAACATAGTCATTTGCGTAAATTTCTCCGAAACATGGTTATTTATGTTTTTTTTTCTAAAATATGGTTATTGCTAAAAAAAAATAAAAAACATACCCATCTTTTTTGAAAATCATGTTGGATGTTATGATGAAAAAATTAGAGAGAAAGTGAGAAAATGAGTGAAGAATGGAGGAGAAATGAGGTTTTATTTATAGAAAATGTATATACATGGTGTCTCCTCCAAAAATTAAAGTGCATACATTATCTCATATGACTTAATGGTAATGCATACACCATCTCATATGACGCTTACATGTAAAGTTAGGTGCATGTATCATATGAGATGACTTGACAATAATATTCATTTTTAAAAATGATTATTTGCGTAATTTTTTTTTTCAAAAATGTTGTTATTTATATATTTTTTTAATACATTATCATTTGAAAAAAAATTCAAAAATAACTTTAAATTTTTTTAAAAAAATCACTATTAAAACTAGTTATATCAAATCCTCATTTAATTTTGAAATTCTAAAATCAAAATCCATGAAGTAAATTTTCTCAGACAGTCACATTTAATAAAATAATAATTCCAATATCAGCTAGTCATATTTTTAGATATACTAGGAAGATAGTGCAATATTTTGCCATGTGCATGACCACATGGGTAGAAAAACAAGATTGAGTGAGGTGTGCATATAAGTGTCGTATTAAGGAAGCAAACAAAAAGATATAGGCATGACATTTGATGAGAAGTGGTGGAATTCTGTTGACTTATGAACGTCACATTTTGTCAATAGTTTGGTATGAAAGCACATCACCACTTCAGTCTCTCATTAATTTTGGTTTGGGTAATTATAAGTCTTATTCAGCTTTAATTGGTTATACAGTTCTTACTCCTAGATTAAGCCTCCAAATATTTCTAGCACCTAGATTAAGAAAGAAAAAAAAAGTAGAACATCTTTTCTCACTTGCTATCATCATCGAGATGTGAAACGAAATTGAGATATACTAGTAATACTATTATTGTATTGACTCATTGCATCTTCTGGTTTGACCATAATTATTTGTTCAATTCAAATGGAAAACACCCGTTTATTTGGCTGATTTTATTGAAACTGTCATTGACTATTTTCTTTTTAAATTATATATTGCATCCATCGATAAGTGGCACTGTGTCCTTGAATGAATACATATACACGCCTATTTAAGCTCTATTAATCTCACATTAACACTTTTTTATCATCTTACTAGTATTAATATATATGGGTAAAAGTAAAACAAAAGCGTGACATCTATTTTGCTTGAAGAAACACAGATCCAAAAATATTACTAATAAATTAAAGTTTTCTTTCCCATTGAAAAAGTTTTGCAACTTTATTACCAAAAATTCAAGTCTTTCCTTTATAAGTGGAAAAGTGAAATGCATCAGAGTAAAACAGTAACAGCTTCATAGCATTCAAAATTCATTCTTAGTTTTTTTCATATACTTATCTCATACGGTTACACACAAATAACAATTCAAACACCACACCAAATTCTTTTCTTACCTGTTACTCCGTATATGTGTATTATACACCAAATGTGTGTATAGAATTTTAGTAGTAAAGGGAACAAAATCAATGCTACAACAGAATTCTTGCCAGATCCTGTTTTTGTTGTTCAATCTTATCAATACTCGTTTCTGCTTTCTGTGCTTCCGTTGAATGCTACACTTTTTTTTTTTTTACTTTCATTGTCTTCTTAAGTAAAAAAACCTTTAACCCACACTTTTCACTTTTGCTCAGATTCTTGTTTTCTATAAATTCTGTTCGGGGAATTAATAACCCTGTCTGAGGTTTTTTGGGAACCACGTCATCGCTTCTTTTTGCACCGCAACAAAACACTTTCGGGCTCTTTTGTTTTGAACTAAGAATACAAAAATGGATGTAAGCTTATTTTTGCAGTTACCCTTTTCCCTTTATTTTTCTTAATCTAGTTGTTCAAGTTAATGATTGATGGGTTATTTTTGTTTGTTATTGATAGGAACATTGGAAGAGGAGTGGACAAATACCAGCTTTTGGGAACTGGGATTTCGCAAACGAGTTGCCAATAACTCAATATTTTGAAAATGCAAGACAAGCTGGTTTGATTCGTTACAGTTCTTCATTTGGCGACAGTGATCATTACGTGGCTGGAGAACAAGATCTTTATGCTGTTGATTTTAGGAAACCAGTTGGAAAGGTAAGCTCTCTTTGTTTAATTATTTTTTCTCATTGCATAGATAAGATTTTGTGGAGTGAAGAAGAGTGGGCCATTGATATTAATGAGATGTTTGAGAAAGGACACGATGTCTGAATAACACATGGCTCCTATATTTTTTTTAATTAAATTATTTTGGTACACTTAGTTTGGTTCCGATAAGAATAAGATAAATGATGTAGAAAGAGTGTGTGATGTTGTTTGTTGATAATCATGTGTAGACGAGGAGGAGTGGAGAAACAAGAATGAGAAAAGAGGGGAAAGTGTACGATGTAACAGAGTATCCAAGGAAGGCAGTGAAAAAGAAGAAGACATTAGATATAGATATAAACGACGTCGTTCGTAACGCTCCTTTACCAACCAGATTTCCAAAACCAGTAGATGAAGATCTTTACAAAATTTCTCCTCAACTTGTTCGCAAAACCAAAGGGGTTAGTTAGTTAGTTAGTGTATTTTATTCTTAAATGTTGTGAATTGTGTTATCCGTGACTTGATTATTTATTGTTTGTGCAGAAAAAAATGTTGGGATTCATTTCCAACTGTCTTGTGCCTACTGCCTGTGTTTCATGACCAATTTATTAGGTTGCCGACACACGTCTAGCAAGTTTGATTTTTTGTATCATGAGGATGAATGAATTAATACTAGTTTGCTATCTTAAATTCAATTACTACTATTTGATTGCATGTCATTAGTTTCATTGGATTCTATATTTAAAGAGCCATTATTTGAACACCTAAATATTCTATTATAATTACCATACTACACGTACATTATTTATAATGAATAGTTTATAATACTGTGTATGAAGTCGTATAAAAAACAATGTTGAACACATAGAGAACGTAGACATAAAAAAAATTTATACGATTAATTCATCAAAATCATTCATAATTATTATTTTATATATAATTAAAATAAAAATCAAATATAATTTAAAATTTAACAATTATAATTCAGTGTATATACTGTCAACGTATTTTCATTAAATTCTTAAAAATGTTGAAATTATAACTCGGACACTTATTGAAAAAAATAGTAATGATTATTAAATTCAAATTAATATAAAAAGTAATTGGATGCTTATTGAAAAAATTAGTAATAATTATTAAAATTAAATTAAATCAAATTAAACAAGTAATTGATGTTCCAAGGCGTCCGTAGGTCCTAAGAAGAAAAAAAACTCAAATATATTATAAGTTGTAATATGTATTCAGCATATAAAAGAAGAGAAGAAAGCTCAAATATATCTTAAATTGTAGTATCTATTTAGTATATAAAAGAAGTTCATATATTTCCTAAATTGTAGTATTCACTTAACATATAAAAGAAGCTCAAATATATTCTAAGTTGTACTATTTATTTAGCAGATAAAAGAATAGGTGATCATGACTAGTAGTCTCATATATAAGTTTAATGACGTGTCATTCTATGTATTATTTCATTCTCACTATGCTTCCCAATTCCATGAGAGAATCTCAACCTCTTCTCATAGACAAAACTGATCTAATTAACGATTTCTCTTTCCATCCCAACTCTTATGAATTCACTTTCATGAAGAACACTTGAACAAATCTCAAGTCATGTTGTATAAATTTTATTTTACAGGCTTCAAACTTGTAAATCACTCAATAATTAAATGCTTACACAACTGATTAAGTCATTGTCCAAACATTTGAGTCATTGTCCAAGTGATTAATCTATTTTTGACTCAAAGGTAACATTGTCATTTTGGAAAAGTGGCTTTAATCACAAAGTCCACTCTCTTTGAGCTTTGCATTTGTTCCTTCTGCACATACACAATCTCAAAGCCAGAAGCAACTTTTCTAGAACCTGTCAACCACCCTACAAGTCTTTGTACCATGCATAGGAACTATGTTTGTCAAGCTTGCTTCAAAAAACAAGTTTCAAGACCAAAACATGTGATCTCTTGTTTCTGATCCCTTCAAGCTTCCAAATCTCGTGCCTATAAATAGAGAGGTTATATGCAACCTAACACACAATTTTACAAGCCTTGAAGCACCCTCAAACTCCTTGAAGCTCAGAACTTGCACCAAAAGATCCATTGTTGTAATTTCTGGCCAAAAACTCCAAACTCACAAGCTACTCATTCGTTTTCCCTCTAAATCATTCTCAAAGCTCCCTTACATCAAATATAACTCACCCTCGTCCCCGTTTCACAACTGTAACTCCATCTTCATCATCTCCCAAACTCAAAAACAGAGCTCTGCACATTGACTTCTCCAGCACAATTCAGACACTTTCAGCATAAAGTGAGAGTTACATTAGCTTTCTAGGAGTTCAGTGAAGCTATCCAGATCATCACCACACTTCTATGAGTGCTCAAACTTCATACACGATTTTCAGTTTTGAGGTAAGTTTTCTCAATTTTGAACTCTCTCCACAAGCATCATTAATGGTTACTTTGTGAATAAAAATGTAGACATCATAGCCCTGAGGCTAACCATGCCCTTGGTTTTCATTTATGTTGCTTGAATGATGCGAATTTTCAGTTTGAACTTTCTGAAAAATTAGATTTTATTTGGTACCAATGGAAATTCTCATTCATCTTTGATTTATAGCTCATGAAATTTATATGGTTGAATTCGTATTGAAAAATGAAACAAGTTTCTTATTTACATTTTCTGATTTTATTGAGAAATGAGGAAGTTACAAAATTCATAAATGGTGTTGGAAATGCTGGCGCGAGGTTAGGGATGAAGTACCATTAGGACTGAGTTCATTTTATATTTATTACAAGTTGTATTACTCACGGATGAAACAACCACCCCATTGATAGAGAGAGAGAAAGAGTGTGCGTAAGGCATTGAACTATAGGGACCTGAGTTCGAGCCACAATGGTACCCTTTTATGTTTCACTTATTTGTTTATTTCAGATTTTGTGCATACAAGCAAGGCGCGCCTACCATGCGCTTCACACTAAGGCCATCAGATCTGCTAGCTATCTAATCCCACGCTCTAAACTCACGTGTGCATCATAGACCCTCAAGAAATCAGCAACACTGAATCAGATAAAGCATTGTGCCTCCCAGATCATGGGCCTTTTTCCTTTTTATTTTTTCTTCCATATACCCCTGATAACGCGAAATCATATCATATATTTACCATAAAATTTATCCGTTTTATATCGTATTTACCCGATTAACTCTCGAATATTCCGAGTTTTGTATGGTTTTATGTAGGTACAACATATCTCAGCTCAAACTAAGAAGAAACGTGAAATGTGCGAGATTGCGGCCAAGACCAAAGAGAAAAGATAAATCTGTCAAGAAATCCATAATTGCTGCCATTACGGTCGTCACGCCCTTGCCACGACCGTAAGACGCTTCAGACGCGCGTTACGCTCGTCACGCCCCTGCCACGACCGTAACGCACTATTTCATGCAAACTGCGCGTAACGCAGCAGCCACGCCCGTAACAAGCTTATAAGTGTTAAATTTTGAACGTGGTCAAGCAACAGAACGTGGTAAAGTAAAATGAAGTGGTCAAGCAAAGCATGCATACGTGCCTAATTTCTCTCCAACTTCCAAGGCCACTTTCTCCTCATTTTTCTCAGTAAAACCAAGAATCTAGGAACTCAAATATAATTCCAACCGTACTTTTACTCTCTATATATAGCTTAGACTTAGAAAGAAAGAGAGGAGAGTTGAGTTCACAAAAACCTTGCGGAAGCTCTGCCGATTTTTAATCTCGATTTTATTTTCGAACTTCGTCCATTTAAATTCTCATTCCGACGTTCCAATCTTGCCGGCTTGTGGAAGAAGGATCTCGGATTTTATTGCTTTTCAGGTTTTTATTGTATTCAATATAATTGCAAATTTTATTTATGTTATATTTCTATTCTTTATTTATTATGCATGCGCTATTGTTTTCTGAATTCATTTCCTGCTTTTTAATTCCGAGCATTATGAGTAGCTAAATACCCGTAGTCGGGGTGTGATGAAATAACTGAATAAATTAATGTTTTTCTAAGCTAAAACCTTAATCAACTTAATTTCTGGCCGTGACTTTTTATAATTAAAAATTAAGCTTTTTATTACGAGAGTAAAGAAAGTGAAATAGGGAGAAATCAAGACCACGAGAGTGTGAGGTTTTAACCGGATAGCTAAGGTTAGGCATTCGATTTAAATACAGCGAGAGCGCTTTAAAATGAATTAGACTTATTTAGTTTTCAAAAAGATGCTTTCTAAACACTTATGGACTAGCGAGAGCAGGCATTTGGCTTTAGGAGTATGATCCGAGGTAAGACCACGAGAGTGTGAATCGAGGGTTTTTAAACTGATAAGTACTACAGAACAATTGAGTTAAACATTTTTATATGCTTAGGTACAACTTAATTCGCATAGGTTCAAATCATTACGCTCCGACCACTTTGATATTAATTCCCTTAATTGAATTTAGTTTCCCTTTAGTTTTAAACTCCTAAAAAAACCAAACGTGACAATTTCCGCCTTAGCTAAACTAACCCTGTTCCATAACACTAGAGTGATTACGAAGTCCCTGTGGGTTTGACATCTTTTTATTACTACCGCGATAGACTGTGCACTTGCAGTTAAGATACCGTTAGACACATTAGGTCAATCGCGACACCAAGTTTTTGGCGTTGTTGCCGGGGACTTTAGTTTAGTCACTAATGTATTCTGAAAACAACGCTGTCTAGACTAAGGCAATTTTTTTTATTTCCCTCTATTGTATGCCAAACACTCGTTCTCGAAGCGAGCCTTTGCATCTACAAATCTTGTCCCAATTACTATGTATCACCCGAATTGTTTCTACAACCCCCACTCTGAGTATTTCGAGGAATCACAAGAACCCCATAAATCCGACCTCGAAATACTATTGGAGAATTTCAATGCATCACAGACCCATTCCCACCCGAATTACCTTTCCAACCACCAATCCCAACGTTTTGAGGAATCGCAAGAATATTATTATTCCAACCAAACTTATCCTCAACCAAATTTCCCCTACAATCACTACACCCAATATTTCGAGGAGACGCAAGTATCCTATAAATCCGACCTTGAAATATTAATGGGAAATTTTAATGAAATATCAATGATGACAAAGCGCTTTACGGAAACACAAAATGAGACTCTAACTCAATTTGAAGAATCAGAAGAATCGCATGATTTCAACTTCAAAACATCAATGGAGGATTCCTACGCGACGCTAATTCACTCTAGGATAGAATCTCTGATGGAGCACTTTGTAGAGACACAAACTGTCCAGAACGAAGAGTTTAGAAAACAAAGTCTTCAAAACAGTGAAAACCTTAGGCAACTGACCACTGTGGTTGAGTCGCTCGCGACCCACAACATAGCCTTAGAGACCCAAATCTCCCAGCTTGAACAAAACCCTCTAGGACCCTTCCCTGAGGAGAAATTGGATGTTGTAACAACCAGTAGTGAAAAACAAGTTGAAAATCCTAAGGAGAGCGATAATGAGGTTGAGGAGAGTGATAATGAGGTTGAGGAGAGTGATGATGTGGATGAGGAGAGTTCATATGAGGAAAGAGTAAAGATTAAGAAAAATCCTCCAACACCATCTA